GATATGATCTCGCTTCATGGCATTCAAGTACATAAGTCAACCATATCAGGCATAATAGGCGGCCACATAGTAATATTGTAATAGCCGCTGCCCTGAATTACCTGTCAGGTTGTTGGAAGCGATTCATGGGTCCGTTAAACTGGCCTATTTAATCACGGGCTACTGGAGCAAAATTGCCTATATGTAAAATCCTAATGCTCCTTTTAGAAAAACAGATCTGCTGCGGCGCAATAGAGTATGGCTTATATCCCCTTGAACGCGACGTCCTTCTCCTATTGAATAGATAATTTTATATTGTGACTTAGGCTCTATAGATTGTGGGCCCAGATTTAATATTTTACATGGTCTTTGATTACAATATAGCTAGTAGCACTGATGTGGTGTTGTCCATCTGTAGCCGCCATGCGCATTTTCAGGATTGCATACATGCCTTACTTGCACGTTTGATGGTTATGCAAAGATTTTGACAACATGGATGTAGATATAAGTACGTTGAAGTGTTACAATATAAACTTGTGGAGAGAAGCGTGGACTATAATGGTGGCGCCAAACCCGCCCGGTTGGGCGATTCTCTTAGGACGACGGAGCATCATAATGCTTTTTGGGACACATCAATTTGGTTGCAGGAGCGACGGGTTTGTTTCAAAGCAATATTTCAAAAGGACTACGACAAGATTCTAAAATTGTGTGCCGATCAGCTTCAGGAACTCTGTTCCTTCGATCTGGACACCTAAGGATGCATGAAACTTCTTGGTGTTGAACGGCTGAATCCGATTCTCTAGGTTCGTACGCACTTTTTCCCGATAGTCTCTACCACCTGGCTGGCTTAATTATGCATGGATCTTGGATAAGAGTCTGATCGGACCATGCAGGGATTTCATCAAGATGATACATTTTTGAAAAATAATGCGGCAGTAGCCGAAGAGTCATGAAACTGCACGAGTAGAAGAATGAGTGGATGGAAGAAATGGCTTATGTACTCATAGAGAATGCGATGAAAGAAAACTGCTGGGTCAATGCTGATCTTTTCAGATATTTCTACACGGTAGTCTAGCGATAGGCTCTACAATTAGCTTCTAGATCAAGTCCTTAGAGATTAATCAGATGCATATGGGAATATTAATCGCGAAACAAGGGTTATGTGTTGGGTGGCCAAATCAGGCTGGAGACTGAGCATGCGTAAAAATTCAAAGGCGAGTCTCAGAAGTCCTCTTTTTGACACTTGTCTCTACTTGCATCGGTAAATAGATATTGCTTAAGTGGGATGCCACCTATAGGCTAAAACACTTATATATTACAGTTTGCCTTTGTAGTAAACTCAGTGACTATTTGAGATGATAGAGACGGAGCTTCCTTATGCATAGTGTTTAATACGGCCCCTTGTGTGACATTGCTTGATCAATCGAGACCCAGCCGCACCCCGGGTGACCATTGTGTGACATTGCATCTTCATTTGATCAACTTCCATTTTAAGAATGGGGGCTGTGAGACTGATAGTAAGCCAAACTGTCGACGCACACAAACGCACGTCACGGCGCAGGCAAGCCCTGAGGTATAATTGTCCAAAACATGAATAATCACAGGCGTGATAAGTGGCAGATGAGACAAGCATATGCGCTGAGTGACGATATGAGTTCTATACTATCGCGACTAAATGTCATCGTCATATTCACGCGATCTCCTTTGTGAATCAATACCGTGGAGCACGTATTACAAGTTATGGTTTGCAAGAAATGTCATACCGGTGCGTTTTCTCGGTCAGTGTTGAATCCCAGACTTAGATCCTCCTGTTAGCCACTTTCCATATTGACCACAAAATTAGAATGGCCTAGGCTATCTTAGTAGTCGACCAGCGCCGCGAGTTCAGATGCAAGCCGACTGATAGGATAAGCTGACTGAGCTGTTTTGCCTGTTTGACCAATCTGTTTCTCTGTAAGACTCTGGCTCGCACTGGATGTTGAGCGATGATGCTGTAGACGGTGGGGATGCTGATTGTCATATTGATCTTTCATTGAAGACCACATGGAAAAGCATTGTACTTGACTTAATCAATACTCACTCGGATGTATTCAAATACCCAAGATTTCAATACCTTGCGTCGTTTCATTTCGCTCGCAGCGTAAAATTTATTATCCCAGCTTCGATGTACTGGCTTTACGGTAGATCACGAACAGGTATTTTGACCAAGCCCTAAAAAAAATTGAATGCATATATCAGCCTTTCAGCTTAAACAAGTGTCTAAGGAGTTTGATTTGAACCTTAGTTACAGACTAGTCAGAGTATGTGCTACTTTGGCGGCCCCGCTTTGGGGGTCAGTTATACAACCTAACGATTGAGATACCCGTGCGCCTCATCGGGTAACATCGATGTGTGCGCTTCGTGTTGCAAATGTTAAGCAGCCGTTGCAATTTTCAGACGGTAGCAACAATAATTTTGTTTAAGATGTACGATGCCAGTGAAGCATTAATTCGCTGTTTGCAGGTTTTGCCACATCTGCGATATTTCTTAACATATACATAAGCTCGGCGGCTGCCTTCACATCAATCTTTCCTCATTATCCTAATGCAACAGGCCCCAACAGTCTTACCAGATTTTGGGGTTTGTCAAATTTCGAAGTGCCATGCACCACGTTTCCGACGTCTTTGGGCAATCACTCCCGAAACTACGAATGCGTTTGCGAGCTCGCTCAACGCATGCTTTAGCCATAGACTCAATACAAAGTCTCTCAAACCTTAACACAGCTAGTAAGATGTCCATGGAGAATAGAAATCGCGATGCTTTGGTCTCGCATCAAGCTGCGTCCACAGTTGGGTTCGTCAGTCATCTTCGGGGCACAGCTCTTCCGCGAAATTGATAGTTACCACAGTCAAGTTGGACACCCAGGATTAGGGACTTCTGTTATTACAATATCCGAGTTTCCTCTCTTGCGACGTGTCAGAGGGAGTGTGCCATGGCGACTGTGGATTATTGCCATCATTGGGCTTTGGGAGAGAGCAGCGTTCTGGGGGAGTAAGCAACGCCCACATAATAGAGCCATCTGAAACATACACTAACTCGATATTTGGGGATCCAGTTACTGCAACATGGCGTATGTTACACTTCTGGTCATTCTCTGGCCCAAACTTTCGGAAAGTTGATACTAATTTGCTTTGTGGCACAAGAAAATTACATGGAACATCCGCCGCACAACGACAACAGTCAAACACCCGGAGCCCTCGGACTGGGCCAGGCCAATGCTACACGAATTTACTGTGCCTTTTATATTTTTTACTACATCACTCCGCTCATTCTTGCTCCACTAGCCGGCAGCTATCTTTGCCAATACCCAGCCCTCCTGATCAGTGTCATGTTGTATTGCTTTGGCTGTACGGCTCTGACCGTCAGCTCGGTAAAAACCAGTCTAGATAAAGGATGGTGCTTGCCTGGATTAATTCTTGCTATGATTCTCATTGGTCTAGGTGGTGGAGCAGTACGTAAAGGTTCTGCGCAAACTACAAGTGACAAAACACTGACACGGACTATATCTCAAGTTCAGAGCCATCATAGTGCCTTTATTGCAGGCCAGCTTACATAAATGAAGCCCGGTCTAAAGCTATTGAAGTCGGGAGAGCGAGTAGTCACAGATTATTCGCTCACATTGCAGTATACCAAATGCAGAACAATCTTATCTCTCAAGCTAGTCAAATGCGGGCTGGTAATACACCCAACGACCTATTGCCTGCTATGAACCAAGTGGGATGCATAGTCCTTGGTCTGCTTATTCAAGCAGGTCTCTATCCTATCCTCCCCAAACGACGCATCTATATGAAACCTATCACTAGGATTACTATCGGCTTTATTTTTGTCGCCATCGCTATGCTTTATACAACTTTTGTACTTTGAGATGAGGTTGTGCAGGAACTTGAATAACAAGCATACAAAACTGCAAGTAATTACATTGAACTACATGCGATCTGTATGTCGCCTCCTTGCTACAGATACCCAACAAAATGTGGGCATGGGCACTGGATAGAGAAGCCAGAGTCTAAGGAGAGCAGACCAAATGTCTGGCTACAAGTGCCTCTTTACATTCTCATCGCGATTGGGTAATGTGTAAGTCCCCGTATTATCACAAAATCACGTACTAATAGCTTCACAAGCGAGCTCTTCTCGTATGTCACAGCTATCGAGTATGCATATGAACATTCCCCAAACAATATGAACGTTCTCGTACAAGCAGTTACTCTGCTTTTTGGTGGAGTGGGGTCAGCGTGTGCTCTAGCAATATCTCAGGTTACCCATGATCCGAATCTTGTATGATTTTACGCCTCGCTTACTAGTGGAATGTCGGCAACGGCACTCGTATTCTGGCTATGTTTTCAGAAGTATAATAAGATGTAGATAACTTATAGGAAAAGTTTTATCTCTTAAGAAGCTCTATATTATTGCTTAGTAGGTATAGTTAGAAGTGCTGGGAAGACCTAGTCTATACCAGCTTCAGTCCTGCCTATTAAAGGTGTTTAGCTAATTCTATTATAAGTATACTATAATAATATAGGTAATAGAGGGTTTGAAAAGGGATCTAATATAACTTAAAGGTATATAGGAGTGCGTACTATATTAAATACCTAAGAAGATCCTTTATTCCTATAGGTCTAGTATAAAAGAATAAGAAGAACTTCTCCTACTATCTACTACTAAGAACTCCTTTATATATAGAGGATAAGAGTAATAGGTCCTATTTAGGGTAGTATTAGAGGGAGGTCTAATATTCTCTTAGTAGCCCTTATCTTATACTAGAGTATATACTATACCCCTATTCTTATATAACTTTTTAGAGGCTTATTAGATATACTATATATATATAGAAGATATACTTACTATATTACTAGGTAAGTTAGGATAAATATTCTTAGTTAAAGACGATTATTATAATTAAGATAGATAGACGTTTTACTATAATTAGATAGATAATGTATAGTAAAGGCCTAACGTATAGGTAAAGTATAATAATAAAAATATACCCTCTACTAGAATCGAACTAGCGATCTTATCATAGCATTAGAATACTAGTAATACGCTTTACCACTAAGCTAAGAGGGCACGAAGCAAGAGGCAAATAGTGTCTTCTGATTGGTCGAATGTTTTCCCAAGACATCAATTAGATAGATATCTCGAAATCTTATTATAGTCAAAGATGCGACCCTGAGGATAAATATCTAATGTGTAGGCCTCAAAAGAACCGATATAGTCGAGCTTGTGGTATAGGTTAGCCGAATAAGCGAGCCAAAAAATCACTTAATGGTCGTAGTTTATGTAGTGGGGCTCCTGAAGCAGAATTAATAGATTGACCCCTAGCTATCTCTCTAACCTTCTGGCTTTGACACATGCGCTTGAAATATTACCTAATATATGGAGCAACACCTACATTGCGTGATTGATTTAACCTTATCCTCTAGTCTTGATTACTTGCTTAACCGTACTCTATATAGCACGTTGCTTTGTGCGTATACGCTGCTTGATACGAGACAACACGATGCAGTCAGATTGAGACAGACCAAACAGTAATGAAAGAAAGCACCTAAGTATGTTCGTATCGGGCCCCGATCTGTCAGCATTACACAAATCGTTCATGTTACCAAGTCTCACACGAAATATGTTTTCTTTATCGATTATTATAGTACCGGGAAGAACGAATGGCAGTAGAATTGTGCAGTAGTTGAGGGTTGTGTATTGATCGTCAAGGGAGATCTTAAGACAGCTTTGGTGAGGGGTTGAGGTAGACAGCGACTATAGGATCGACACGAACTTTGGTGGTCAGATGAAGTGTGAGTGAACTAGGCTGAGATGCAAAGCAGTGGTGTTGTGGTTGAAGCAGGAAAGTTTGATTCGAATTATCGGGGAAATGATTAACAGCAGTAGCAAGTCTTGAACAGAGGAACTTTATGGGCTGGGACATTCTATTCCTCCACCATGATCTTCCCTCGCCTTTGCAGATACAGCTTCCTTAAGTGAACGCCATTCTACATGCAATTGTGGTGACACAACAGTAAAAACACTAGCTGTCCGTGGCCTAGAGTGATGATAAGGCTAGCTAGTAAACAAAAGTAGTGTAATGGGAAAAGACTGGGGGACCCAAGAGTGTGAAAATGGATAAATAATGCAGCCTACATGGTGTTTGTCTTCTTCTCGCGCAATTCAAGTTCTTTCATGTATTTTACGAAAGACTTTTTGTGCACCTGTACATTTGTCAGCGTGTTACAAGTACGTTTGGTTATACATTCCTTACCAAGCCAGCATACTTCCCATCTCTAAGTACACAGATATACCTCAAGCCCAACTTGACGAAGCACTCATAGACTAGATCCATTGGTGAATGCACGTCTAGCGCTACGGGCGCTGGATCGATGTACGGTGTGAAATCACTAGGATCATAAAAGGCTTGTTCTTCCGCACCATGCGGTTCTCGTCCCGCTGCCCAATGAACCTGTGGGGACATGAGACAAAGCGTATTCTCCTCATTTTCGAGTTTGTCGAGTGCAAACTCGAGGTCAGGAGCGGGTATGAGGCCAACTAATATAGAATGTTTGATAATGGGCAGGCAACCGTCGAGCTCACCAAGCATTTGCAGACCACGTTGCTTATCGCGAAGCTCCGGGGCTGGTATTAGGGATTCCTCCGAGATATCGATAATGTGGTCTTGCCGAACGCGTGGTGTAATGTCGCCAAGCTCTGAGGTGAAGATGGGACGTACTTTGTTGTCTAGGAAAGGGTATGAATTCATGTCTGTGAGGAGGTCATAGATACTAAGCGGTTCAATGGCATCAGCTACCCACTTGGAGACCAATATGCCAAGAGAGAAGGGTAGGACGTGATCCAGGCTACCTGTGAGCTCAAAAAGAATGACAGCTAGAGTGATGGTCAAACGAGTGACACCAGTCATTGTCGCGCCAGCAGCGACCATAGCATAGACACCGGGAACAACGCAGGACCCAGGCGGGCCAGTTGGACTGCAGTTGCCGAACATGCCAAGGTGACTGAAACGGAGAGCGAAAAGCTGAACGGTGTGGCCTATAAAACGCCCCGCAAGGCCACCTACCACCATGGATGGAACGTATATCCCAGCTGGGACTTTAATACCAAATGTGATCACAGTCAGACTGGATTTAATTACGAATGCAACGAATAAAACCTTCAACACATTAGGAATGTGTTCACTGGTTGGACAAAGGCCATCTCCGGAATCGGTGTAAGTATCGCATGGACTAGCCAATTCGAAGAGGAGCTCGGTGACAGGAAGTTTGGTATAGCGATTCCAGAAGCTGACGAGACCTGTGACGAAGGCAACAAGGATCACCTCGAGCAGCGGATGCTTTTTGATGACCGGTATGCGGCGAAAGGTTTTGGCCCAAAAGCGAGATGCCTTAATGAAAAGAGCACCAAGTACACCACCAATGGCGCCTGTGAAGATGAATGTGACCAGTTCGAAGAACTTCCAATCTAAGTGGTACCGAACCTCAAAAAGAACAATCTTCTTTGTTCCATATGGATCCAAAAACTTTAGAGACAATGCAGCTGCCTGTAATGATATCAGATAACGCTATTAGATTTCGACATAGAGCACTCACAATGCAACAGAAGAAGGTCCTGAATAGTGTTTTCGATGGAAAGTAATAGCTCACTTCCTCCAAGCTGAACAACACACCACCGATGGGAGCGCCGAAAGCAACAGCCACACCACTGGCAGCACTGGCGCTCAAGATTTCCCTGCGCTTCCCGTCGTTGTTGCTGTACTTGGAGAAAATGCGGCAAGCGATGTTCCCTATGCAAGTTGAAATATGCACATATGGGCCTTCTTTGCCAAGGCTGAGACCTGAGGCAACACTGAGGATTAGCGCGATTGTTTTGATAATCAACGTTCGTAGACCGAGATAGCCATGGAGGACGAAACCACTCAGAATAACCTTTACTTCGGCCACACCACTGCCAGCAGCGGAGTAGTAAACCATAGGCGGGCGAAGTTGCGCCTCTTGAAATCTCGACTCTGGACTGACGCTGCGTTTACCATCCTCTTCTTCATGATCCGTGTGCCTACACACTTCAGCACCTAGGTTCTCGTCAAGTGTGGCGAGCGAGATTGCCGAAGGAATAACGGTCTTTGTTGTCAAGGTCAGCAGGCACGATGCCATTGATAGTACAATGACAGAGAGTACAAATAAACTGTACTGAACGTAGACGACGTCTAGTCTGTCACTACGGACGACTTTGGACCAGTGAAGCCAGTCATCGCATATTGACGCGCCATCACAGCAGATCTTGCGATTCTTGTGCCAGCCATTGGAGCAGTAACCCTGCTTCCAGTCGAACAGAGTGGTCTCGGTAGTGTTGACAAGGTAGGCGCAGACTGCAGTAAGGACTCCGATGATTGCCACTAGTATCCAACCCTGAGCACCGTCAAACCAAGCGGCCAGGCGTCCCCTGATATCTTTGCGGTTTCGCAGGGCTTTGACCCGGTAGGCATCGGCGATATTATCATGGACCCAATCTGTAGATGTGAATTGATCATACCACACGCGGTTGTCTTGCCACAAGGAAGCCTTGACCGAGTGCATGCTCTCCTCCAACCCGGGCCGTCGGTCACCGAGGGCATTCACCAGCCGCTGGCTGAAGGATTGGTTAAAGGAGCCTGCCCTGCTAGCCCGCATCCGTGAGCTTGTGGGCAGCTGGCTATTGTGTCGCTTCCCGCCAGGGCGAGGAGTACCTGGTGTCGTCACTGGAAGACTCGTATACGACCGCGCGCTCTGACCATGAGCGTAGCCAAGTAGGCTTGATCGCTCGGTAATATTGTCCCTAGATCTTGAAAGATCCGTCTCTGAGACCCGCATTTGTCTCAGAGGGCGAAATGTAGCTGTCGGGGAGGTGGGGGTAGCACTGCTGATTGTGTCGTCTCGCTCTCGTTGCTCGGCAGCATAGTCGATGCCGGCATCATGGTCGTCGACGCTCCGATATGAGTGAACCGACTTGGGCATGGCGACGGTGTATGCAACGTGCAGCTAGAGACTGTGGGATTGTAAGCTATTAGTGGGGATTCCAACAAAGACATTCCACCGAGTCGAGGCAGCGATAGTGGTCATCTGAAGGACGAGGGCAGTGTAACGGCGGTCTCATGTCTCGGCGGCATGGCTTATCCCCACCAGGCCCCAAGGGCGACTTTCAGCTGCTTGGCGAGATCAACGGGGCACGCACCGAGAGAGACCCATGGCAAGCGAACAGTTTATGTGCATCTACAAGCACTCATCAGAAAGATGGGGTAAAGGGAGGCTGTATGTGGTGCCAGCGAGGATATTATTTCGCTCGCCGAGCATTCACTGACCTTGGAGGTTAGCGGCAACGGCGCGTGTGATCAGAGAGGGCACGCGGGTATGACGAAGGCGTCTCAGGGTCCACCTTGGTGCCATGATCCAAACGGGTAAGGCGCGGTTTAGACCCTCAGCCAATGGAAGCACGCCCTTTCCAACCAAAATACCCCACAGTCGTCACTCCTCGGTGTCTGCCATCGCGAAGTGACTGGGTTCGCAGGATCGAATATCCTCTCTTTCTTTGTGCCGTGTCTGTTTGCTCAATTAGGTCCACTATTTAGCGCCCCCTAGGCTAGGTCGCCGTGGACCGAGTCTAGCACAACGTGTAACTCGGAGAGCCGGTAATTCGCCGAATCGGAACGGTTGCGTGCAATTCTGTGCTACATTCGACGACGGCAAACATTTTCCTCCTGCCAAAACTCAACATGGTAAGATACTGCCAGGAGTCACCGCTTCGCTTGAGCCTTGGAGCTGACTCTTCCAGCCTGCTTCGTATGATCAGTTCTTTCTATTCGGTGATTCCATCACCCAAGATTCTTTCGACCAGCATCGAGGCTTTGGCTTTTCTGCGGCACTTCAAGCTGGTTAGTAGTGATGTTTCGCAAGTCCGTATACTGCTCTGTGATGTTTCGGCTTACGTGACGCTGCTCCTTGATGCGCTGATGGAGGAAGCCATTCTGATACCCCGCCAGCATACATACGACGACTCGATGTGGTCAACCGCGGATTCAGGTGATGCTATGT